TTTTCTTTGTCATATAATCGATATTCAGTTAGGTTCATTATTTCTGTAATGGTTGGCTTTTAGACTTTGCTTTTTTTCTTTATTTTGGATCTAATTTAAGTTGTAAATATGTAAAAAATTTTGGTTTAAAATCAAAAGTCTGAAAAACGTATAATCAGTAAACCTTCACGCCCACCTCTACGTCCTTACCCTGCTTCTGCCCACCTTCTATAGGTAATCATTTTAATTAATTTCTGCTTTATCCTTCCTGTGGATATATGTATGTATAAGTAAATTTGCACACACAAAAAACTTATTTCTCCTGTTTTCTCAACCCAAAGGTGGCATACTATATGCACTCTTTTGCATCTTGCTTTTTTTTTTTTACTTAATAACATATCCTAGAAATCATGTCATATCAGTTCATAAGGCTCCTACTCATTTGTTTAGGCTGCATAGCATCCCATTGTGTGGATGTGCTGCTGCTCATTCAACTGGTCTGCTAAGGATGGGCAGTGGTAGTTTCCAATGATTACCTTTCCTATTACAAATACACCTTAAAGAATCACCTTGTGCACATTTTCTGGATACCTCCTAGAAATAAAACTGTTAGTTAAATGCATATGTTGTTTTGTTAGATATTGTTAACTTCCCCTCCATGGGGGTTGCACTGGTTTGCGCTTCTGGAATTGACTTTGCAACCCCCGTGGATCTTGCTAGGAGGTGTTCTGAGCCGAGAGTGTCCCCAAGCCTACCTGACAGTCCTTAACCTCCCCACCAATAAACACACTACCCCAAGCTCCCTCTGCCCTAGTGACCTGGCAGGAAGGCAAGCAGAGGGGGTCTCACTGATTCCATTCCAGTCCATTTCTCTGAATTATCCCAGAAATTTCTATACTTAACTCGGGAAACCAGAGCAGAGAGAAGTGATGAGGCTGAAAATTGCAGCCAGGAAAGAACAAGAGTGGGGAGAGGCAGAAGAGAGGAGGGGACCCTCACCCCTTGACACCTATATTCTTACCTCCCTTTTCTCTACTTTGGCCTCTCTACCACCTCCCTCCCCCACCCAGTGCAAATTGCCTCCACCAGCTCCTCCCCAGACTGGGAGCCCTTGGTTCTGGTTCCAACTAGATCCTGCCTGGTTTCCCTCCTCAATCCACTTTTTTTTTTCTTTTCGTGGGCTGAACAGAGGACTGGCTTAAGGTGGAGGCAGAAGTCCCCGGTCATTTCTGTTTTAACATGTGAAGAGGAAATAAGTCAGTGGAACAAGAATGGCTCATACAAGGGAAAGAGGAAAGAGGAGACAAAGAGAGATGCTGGGAGAGGAAGCCAAGCACAAAACATCCCACATCAGCCTTTTGGACTCCGATCCCAGGGCCTGCTTTATTCCTATGACGCATTCTATAACGTGGAGACATGAGTGGGGAAAGGATGTCATCCCAGTTGACTTGGCCCAGGGGCTCTGCTTCCCTGTGACCCAGAGGCCTTACCTTTCTCATCCCCCTCTCTCTCTCACCCCTGCCCACCCTGACAGGAGTCAGTGCACGTCTGAGGAGCAGGGAACTGGCTGGGAGGGGAGCCCTGTCTGGGGGTAGGCTGTGGGAAAGAGGTCAGAAGGCAGGAAGAATTTCATCCTTCCGTGGAAGACAGTGAGGCCCAGGGTAGGGCATTTCTCTTCAAGGTCAGATCAAACACCCGGGTCAGTTACAGCAAAGCATACTTCTTAAGGTCCTGGGACCGAGAACGAACATCTTCCCTTCCTCCCTCCAAGACCTGGTGGATCCGGAATGCCCTCGCGGGTAAGTGTCTCTGTGTTCTGGGTCCAAGGCCAGGGGAACAGAAAAAAAGAGAAAGAGGCCCATGGGGGTAACTGAAAGAAGCTAAATTCTTAAATAAAAAGCAGTTTCTTGCAAAATACTCGAATTCCTGACAGGCGGTAGCTAGGTCAGTGCTGGCTGAGCAGCCCAGGACCTCTCTTTTTCTCAAGACGCTGCAGTCCGTGAGATTGGGGAAGAATAAAGTTCCCCGAAATCCTCGCCCAGGGACCTCCGCCCCTCCCCCACACGACGCCGCCCCTCCCAGGTCTCACACCTCGGGCAAACTCTAATTGCCGCACTTCTGCCCTCTAACTGGGCCCTCCCATTTTGACTTTCTTCTGACACCATGGACAACAGAAGTCTAACGAATCTGACTCAGCCACTCCCTCCCACCATCACTGTGGGAGAAGGCTTTCACTGTGCTAGGGGGAAACCGAAGACCACAGGGCAAGGTCGGAATCAGCCCGGGATGAGGCGGATGCCCAGATGTTGACTCTCAGGCTCCCCCCAGATGCCACCGCCTTCCTCCAACAAACACGGACTAAGCGCTTTATATCGTCCCCGGCATTGGGCTCCTTGGACTTGACCTTGAATCCAGCCAGGGACACGGGGATGGTAACTGGAAGTGGAAGGGACTGAGGCTCACTCAGCACGGTCCCCCGGAGGCAGGAAAGCTGCGCTGCAGCTCCGAGCGCCCGGTGCCCCGAGTACTCGGGTTCGGGCAGGGCCGGAGGGTGGAGCAAAGCTGTGCGAGGGCTGCGCCCGGGCGGGGCGCCGGGGCCGCGGGGCCGCGGGGCAGCCGAGGGGAGGGGGCCCCGCCGAGCGCACGCGGCCGCGGGTTTGCTGCAGCGCCGGCCGGGCCGCAGCTGCGAGGAGATTCCCCCCGGCCGCCCCCGACACGACTCAAGGCCACGGAAGCAGGCGCCTCGGAGCGCGCTAAATAGGGACCTGGTCCTCGGGGAGAAGCTCTCCCGAACCTACCAGAATCTGCCCTAGGAAGAGCACTGAAAATGGGAGGGCCAGCGGCAGGGATGGCGGGATTATGGGCCCCCCAAATGGGAGGGCGCGGGAGGTGGGGGAGAGGCGTGATTTCGGGGCTGCACCTCTGCAAGATGGTGGCAGGGAGGATGGGGCTCCCGGAGCAGGAGCCAAGAAATGGATTCGCCTCCCCGCCTTTCTCCTGACAAGGGCATGGATCCTGTCTTGGGTCCCCTGCCCACTGGGTAAAGCTTCACTCCCTTCCCGGGCACAATACAGGGAGAAAGGAGCTGTCTGGCCTTGGAGTTCAGGCAGATCAATCATCCAACACCTCAGAATGAAAATGGGTTCCTGTTGCTTCCCCGGCCCCCATTTCTGCCCTCCTCCAAATCTTCTGCTTCCTTCTTTCCAGTTTCTAACCACTTGCCTTTACCACTCCTCCAACCAAGCGAGCTCGGGCAGAGGGCAGGTGCTTCCTCCACCCCAGCCCCAACCTCCCCAGCTTCAGGTATGGGACCCACCTCCCTAAGTACCCTGCACCATTCTCCCAAAGCCAGCTCTCCAGGGCACTACCCCTAGCCAACCATGGAGGGAACCCAGCTCACTAGCCATCAGGGCCACCATCTTTTCCTGCCCTCCTCCTCCTTAACCTTCCCCCACTCAGTCCCTCCTGACCCCTTGCCCCTCTCTGTGGCCTGTCCCACCCTAGGATGACCCAGGTCTCTTCCCTTCCTTCCTTGTGAAAAACAGGGCCTGGAGCTGAGGGGGACTTGGGGTGGGGGTGGGGGCTCCAAATAGGAAGGGCAAGAAGGGGCAGCTCTGGGGAGAGGCTCAAGGTGGGAAGAGAGGATCTTAAGACTTCCCGACACCGCACCCAGTGGAGGAGGTGGCGAGTTAGAGAGGGATTTTTACTTCCCCTCCCCCAGAGGTGTCAGTCAAGTGCCCGCCTATTTCTTCGGCAGAGAACCCCCCACCAGGCTGGCTGGCGCCAACATCTGTCTGCAAGTTATTGTAAGTCCAGCAGGAATGCTCAGGAGGGTGGTGCCTCTGGCCAGCAGAGTGCCCACTCTCTCCCAGGATGTGGATGGCCCCTCCCGCATCCTCCACACCCAGCAAGAGAGAAGCGATGGGTCCTTCAGTGAGATGGAGGAGTGTGTGAGGCTGGACTCGCCTGGGGAGGATGCCAGCCGGCCTCCTCCACCCCAAGAGCGAGCCAAGTATTTGAGTGAGCGTGTGTGTGAAGGAAGAGCAAAAGTGACAAACCCAGCCTTAATTTCTAGCTCTTCAGCAAGACAGCTCGGTGGCCCAAGACACTCAGGGACCCTCCCGAGGCTGCCTGTGGCCAATCTCCAACCGCCACTCACTCACCAGCCCCACAGTCACCAGCCTTAACACTGCAAACTTTCCAACTTCACCCCTTCCCTTTTCTCCTCTTTGGGACCAGCGATGTATGGGGCGGTGCCCTCAGAGACACTCTTACAGTTGGTTCTTGACGCTCCGCACACACTCAAACAACAGCCTTCGGAGGGAACTCCCAGCTTTTTCCACAGCTAATTATAGACGTGAAAGTCTGAGGACGTTTTGCAAGCGGCAGAGAGAAACTGCAGAGGTTTCTCTATCAAGCTAAAGAAATTTAACTTGTGCACTCCCCTTCCTCAACCCCCACCAACTTCTCCGGGCTCCTACCTCCACCCCCCCCCCCCAGTGAGCCCCTCTCCCGGTCCCCACTGCGGCTCCTCCTTCCTGTTGAAGATTTCCTACTCAGTTTTTTTTTTTTCCATCTCTCTTTGGGGCTTTCAAGAAAGGGAACAGACGCGGAAAATATTTTTGCAACAGTTTTCCATTCTGCGTCTCATTACCAAGCCGAGGGGGAGGGGGAGGGCAGGAACGGATGAGGAAAATAAATGCTTTTTCCAAAAGCTCAGTTTGGGTATGAAAAATACAGCCCCTCCAGTTCCCTACCCCCACAGCCCAGGAATGGCAAAAACTAGGGGGGGGGGAAGAAATCATTTGTTTGATTATACGGTTTCTCAGAACTGAGAAAATACAGTCTTTAACAAATCTGTGCACACGCACACATACACGCGCACGCGCACGCACACACCCCCGAAACCCAGTCCCAAGAAATACGCTAGGGAAGAGCAAATTCAGGGAGTTTCAGAAGCCATGGAGAGAAAAGAAACTAAGTTTGCAAATCAAGATTCAATTCATTCTCTGCAATCCTACCTCTCTTTCCAGCAAAGATCCAGGCTTCTCCGCGCGGGACTCTCGCCCCGGGTTTCCGTGGACAGGAGTAGGGTGGGGATGGCCACCCACCGGTCTCCCCAGTGTGGCAACCACGCCGGAGATGCCGGCTGGTCTCTCCTGCCTCCTCAGCTACGGCCCGGGAGCGGGCTGGGTCTCCTGCCCCGGCCCTCCCAAAGGGAAGGACCTCTCAGGCTCCTGAAGAAACGGGCGCGGGGGAGCCGGCGGCCGTCTCCGACCTTGCTCTCCTCGGAGGGGTTATTCCCCAGGAACTTCGTGCCCCCCAGCCCGCCCCTTCAACTCCCGGCTTTAGACGGTCTCAACAGCAGAGCTTGCTTAAGAAATTGCTCGTCATGGCAGCGGCTCCCGCCAACTCGGGCCAGACTCCGGCGCACGAGCTCGGCCGAGCGGGAGGGGAAGGGGGAGGGGCGAGGGCGGGGTGGGGGTGGGGCTTGGCGGGGGGCCCGACCGTTACTCCACCGTTAAGGTGGCCCGAGGGCGAGCCGCGGCCGCTTCCTGGTTTGTTAAGGAGGAATGGGAAAAGGAGGAGAGGAATCCTCTTTTCTGCGGGGGTTTCCTCCCCGCCCTTGCTCTCGACCGTTGAAAGGAAAGTCGGGTGGGGGGTGGGGGTGGGAGGGGATGCGGGTGGCGGTATTCAACGGTTGCTGGGTGGAGGGGAAAAGGAAGCTTCTGCAGGCAGTTGGTTTCCCGCAGCTCCTCTCAACCTCTTACTCACTTAAACCCAGGACCCAGAAACCCAAGGTGTCTGCGGAAACTTGTACCATCTCCTGCCACCCTCCCGCCCCTGTCTGAATAGGGGGCTCACTGGAGGAAGAGAAGGAGTTGCTTTGGGTGCATCCGCCGTGGGCAGCTTGCTTATACACACAGCTTAGTTCACAGTCCTCACCCAGATTTCACCCACACAGTCCCCGGGGGTCAAGCGCCCCCTTGCCTCTGTACCCACAGGGACACATCCACAGCACATGATGAGGGCTGCCTACTTTTGAATCCTACTATGTGTGGGCTGTGACACAAAAAGCTTTATACAATGCTCGTGGCAATCTTGAAAGGTACTTATTATCTTCGTTTCAGAGATGAGGAAATTGAGGATCAGTAACTTGCCCAAGGTTATACATCTCCTTAACAACAGCGCAAGGATTCCAGGCCAAGTCAGACTGACTCCAAATCTGGTATACTTTCCTGCACTTGTATCATAACTCCAACACATGTTTCCATTTTAATTCGCGCACAGACATCCACGCACACTTATACACCGACTATAAACTGTTAATCACACCCCAGCAGCCACACACCCACCAGCATTGTGCAACAGTGCCACCCATAGATTTTGCGCAGAACCTTACGGCTTTCAAGTGCAAACATGCACCATCAACTGGTTCACCCTGCATGTCTTCATTGACTGATGCATTCCCACACCTACCTCTACGCGCACGCGCACACACACACACACACACACACACACACACACAAACTCGTGTTCATAGGCTAATGGAAAGTCGGTTAACATACACCTCACAGATTAGAGTTGTAAACTGTGCTGTTAGAAGGGGACCAACCACAGCTTCAGGAGTTTGGGAAGAGACCTCTTTGACCCTCCCATCCTGACCCAGCACCTCACACCACTCCTTTACCATGCATCCTTCCTACCCCCATGAAGATCCACATGCACGTGGTGAAACAGAGCTGTGAGTTAGACCCTTGGGGTCTGGCTTCCCTCTGCGTAGGAGCACCCTTCCCAATTTCCTAGCATTTGGGTCTTTTCTTTCCTCTCTTTTTTCCCCTGTCCTGCTATTTCTCAACAACTCATCCACGTCCTATTTCTGAGCCAGGGAAAGTTAAACAGACAAAAGTAAAGAAAGCTTTTTAGGATGGTTGGGCTGGGCTCAGAGCTCAGAGTTTCTTAATGTGGTGCTCAATTGCCTGCTGCCATCTGTCTTTGGAACCGAATCCCAAATAAGCCCCTGCCTACCCTTGTGCTTCTCCTCCAAGCCCAGCCCAGCCCAGCCCCACGCAGCTGAAGGTTACAGGGGTGCAGAGGAGGGTTTAGGGTCACCCTCTGTGGAAGCCATCATGGATTGTTTTCCATGCAGTCCTTTCTTCCTTCCTTCCTTAGGATTGAAAGTCTCACTCTCCTTGGCATTTAGAGGGCACCAAAACGTGAGATTTGTTCTCATTCACTCCCTGCCTCTCCCTCAACTCCCCTGGTCCATCCCATCCCACTGCCCAGAGCATTTCAGTGGACAAACTGATGGCTGGGATAGAGATGGTACCTTGTTAGAGTTTGGAAGTTCCCACTAAAATGTCAGTTTCAGGAGCCCAGATCAATTGTTGGCAAAGACAGGGGAATAAAAGGACAGGGATCAGCTGAACAGAGCTTCAGATTTAATGGCTTATCAGGCTCCTGCCGGATTGCAACAACTTGACATCTTAGCGTCCAGTGAGTGTCAGTTGCATCTTTATCAGGAGAAAGCCAGTCTCTGAAATGGTGCTTTAAATGTATTAAAGTGTATTTTAAGCTTGTCTGCAGTGTCTGTGTTTCATGGCCTTGCCTGACTGTTTCATAAACTTGTCCTGGGGGAGTAACAGTTGAGGCCAGATGTGCGGTCCTGTTAAAGGAGAAGTCTACTTTGGCCACTGGCGTTGGGGGGGCCGGGAAATGATGCCTTGTTGGTGTCTGAAAGGCAAGATTCTCTCCTTAAACTCCTTGGGTTCAGGGAGGCAGGCTGTGCAGGGGAGGCACTGCCCATGGAGGCTGTGCCATCTGTCCTGCCTCTGAAGGGCTCGGATCCACGGGTAGACCTGCCCTTCTCTTAGAGTCCAGTGCCCCCCATTACCGGTGGGGGGCTGCGAGATGAGAGGAAAGGAACCCTCACCCCTTTGCAACCCCCCAGCCCTCTTGTAGACAAGCAAGAGGATGTGAGGGGTGGAGTGGCCACAGCCTGGTCTCCCTAGCTGAGCCAGCCCCCGGTGCCTGTGTTTCCAGAAATCTTGTGCCTTGTTTCTTCCAGCAGCTGGCTTGAGGTCTAGAATGGATAAAACTAAATCTACCCAGGAAATAACCTCCAAGTGTGGAGGGTGGAGGCATGCCCCTTCCCCCACCACGGCTAAGAGGGACGGTACTGCCTCCAGCATCGGGAGTTCCTGGTTGGACTGTTGTGTATGGCTGGCTGACTGGCCTCTAACTAGACCCTTTTTCCTTCTCATCCCTGCCATCCTCGTATCCTCTCCTTCTTTAGCTCTAGCCTGGCTCCCCTCAGCCAGGAGTCACGGCTGCCCCAGAGCAGGTCAGCCTGGGAGGGATTCCATCATTGTGGACCCTGTCCCCATGCCCCCACACCAACTCTTACTTGAAGAAAATACAGTCAGCCTTGTCCCTCCCTTCGATGTTTGAGAGAGTCTATTCTTCCGGCCTCTTGAGAACCCCACCTTGAGTTCCCCAAATCACCTGTGCCATCTTCCCCCACCTTTCTTGAATGCAAGCTGCACCTCTCTGTACTGTGGGTGTCTCCTGCTTTGTCTAGAACAGCAACCGTCCTCCCCAGGCTCAGACCCACACTTTTAAGGTGGTCTTTCTCTTCACTGTTAATATGGGAGGAAATGTCATTTTATTAGAGGTCCCAT